AAATAGGTTTGCTATCGCAAGTTTGTTGCATGAAATTAATGCAGGAATGTAGTAAAAAACACCAATCGACAAAACTATTAGAAATTAAGATAAAGGATTTAGAAGATTTGAAAAACGAGTCTAATTATCAAAACTTTTTTAATTTTTTGCAACTCAAAAACTTTGATGATTTTTGACAGAAATGCGGTAATAAAGATTTTATGCTTACCATTCAAAAATTTATTTCGGAGGAATTTCTAGTCCTTGGAGAGCTTAATTCTTTACATGCTAGTTTTGATGACAACACTAAAAAGAATATTGATTACTTTCTTCGAAAAACTTTGTTTGACCAAAAGTTTAACTACTTGAACGACTACATAAAAATCTGTGAACAGGCTGTTTATTTCAATTGAATAAAAGAAGTAGAAGAAGCAAATAAGGAAATTTTAACTAACTGAAATCAGGAGGAATTAATAAGAATTCAGAATGAACAACGGGAAATTGTGAAAAAGAAAAATGATTTATCAAAAGCAATTCTAAAAGATAAACAAAAAGAAAATCTAAACAAGATATCTGCTAATCACTTGCTAATAAAAGAACTTAATAAAAAAAGAAAGATTTCTTCTTTGAAAAAACTTTTCCCGGATTTAGTTAATTATTTTCCGATCTGACTAACTACTCCAGAAATTATTTCTTCAATAACTAACTGGCAAGAAGTGCCTTTCGATTTCCTTGTTTTTGACGAAGCTTCTCAAGTTCCTTTAGAAAAAAGCATCCCACTTTGGGCCCGAGCTAAAAAGTGTATCGTTATTGGCGACGAACAGCAACTGCCACCGACTGATTTTTTTAAAAGCCATTTAGAAATTGAAGAAGAAATTTGAGACCAAGAAGAAAGAGAAGAGGAGATAAAATATCGAGAAAAAAACATCAATTTAGAAATTGACGATTTAGGGAAAAACAGCAACTTATTAACTTATGCCAAAAAATATGCCCGCAACAAAGAAAGATTAACTTTATTATATCACTATCGTTCGCGTTATCCAGAATTAATTGATTTTTCTAACCAAGCTTTTTATAATGGCATTTTGCAAATTGTTTCGGCAAGTGAAAAGAGAAGAGACTATTCTCCGATTGAATATCATTATCAATCTGAGGGGCGATGGATAGATACAGAAAACCAAGTGGAGGCTCGTTATATCGCCGAATTATTAAAAAAACCCTCGCTAATTGGCAAATCGGTTGGCATCATTACTTTTAACAGCAAACAAAGAGATTTATTGATAGATTTAATTGAAGAGGAAAGCAACTATAAAAATTTGTTTATTAAAAATTTGGAAGAAGTGCAAGGCGACGAAAGAGACATTATTATTTTTTCCATTGGCTATGGTCAAAATAAAGAAGGAAAAACTCTGCTCAACTTCGGTCCCTTGAGTAATGAGGGAGGAGAAAAGAGATTAAATGTTGCAATAAGTCGATCCCGGGAAAAAATAATTGTTGTTACTAGCCTTATGCCGACTGATTTAAACAGAATTATCGAGAAAGATGAAAACCGAAAATTGGGTCCAAAACTATTCAAAAAATATTTAGAATACGCTTACCATTGCTGAAAAAAGGAACCGAAGAAGGTTCAGGAAATATTGGAAAAATCGCTCCCAAAAATTGTCAATTCTTCTCTTTATGAGAAAAGCGAAGGGCGAGAAGAGTTTGGTTCGCTGTTCGAGGAACAGGTGTACAATGAACTAGTAAGTCAAAATAATCATGATTATGAGGTTCATAAGCAAGTGAAAAGCATTGGGTATCGTATCGATTTAGCGATCTGAGATAGCCAACTTCAACAATACGTCTTGGGAATTGAATGTGATGGAGAATATTGGCACGGCAAATTAGAAAATATTGAAAAGGATATTTATAGACAGCAACTTTTAGAAGACAGAGGTTGAAAAATAATCCGTGTTTTATCCCGTGATTGGTGTCGTAACAAAGAGATTGAAATTTCTCGAATCAAGAGAGAAATAAACGAATATAAAAGAATTAATTTTTCTGAAAATGTTTAAAGTAATTAAAGTAAATCTATGGCAAAAAAAAGTTTAGGTTTAGAATTAAAGATGTGGCCGGATTATCCGATAATTGCAGGTGTTGATGAAGCCGGAAGAGGAGCTTTGGCCGGGCCAGTAATAGTGGCAGCAGTCATTCTACCAATTGGTTTCCAAAATCCTTTGATTCAGGATTCTAAGATACTTAGTCCGAGGCAGAGGAATAGGGCCTATCAAATAGTCAAGCATGAAGCTTTAGAATACAATATAATTGCCAAAAGTGTCCATGAGATAGAAGAAAAAAACCCCTTAGGAGCCACCAAAGAGGCCATGGCCGAAGTTATTTTGGGTCTAAAGAAAAAACCTGACTTGTGTTTAATTGATGGAAAAGAAGAAATAAAAATAGAGCAAATTAAGACTATAAGTATTACAGGAGGAGATAGAAAGTCTATTAACATTGCAGCTGCTTCCATAATAGCCAAAGTAACACGAGATACTATCATGCAAAAATTACATAAAAACTATCCTCTTTATAACTGGTTCGAAAATAAAGGATATCCTAACAGGACTCATCTCCGAGCCCTTTTTCGTCACGGAATATGCAGTTTACACCGAAAAACTTATGAACCGATCAAAAGTCTAATAAAACCGAATTGTGATAAAAAAAAACTTCGAGAGAAATATAATCTTTAATTTAATGAAACGAAGGAAGTAAATTTTACTCATAAACGTATTCTTTAAATCATATTCGCAATTTTAATTTACAGTATATTAAGAATAAAAAAACAAACTTATTAATTTTGACTTATTTCTGAACTATTTCTAAATTGATATTCTATTTAAAATTAAAGGTGTTTTCTATCTCATTCCTCTTGCTTTCCCTTTTTTCAAAAATAGTAAATAAGGGCTGGAACGAGACCTAAAAAAGCCCAAAATATTAACCAACCAACGCTCATTTTTGGTCGCCTCTCAGAGATGCATCATTCGCAAACTCCTTTGCCATAGTCAGGGGTTCGATTACAAAATTTACACTTTTGCTGTGTGTTTGTGTTATACATATTCATAATTATAGTTTTATATAGCCTTAAAAGAAAAAGAAAGGTTTACCAATCTCGGTCCTGTTTTTTGCTTTAAAAATTCAAGTTTAATATACCTCTTTTTCTCTCAAAACTGAGGATTTCTTTCCGGCCATTCAATAATGTTTAAATTATCTATCGTTAACTCTTGAAAAATATCTAAATTGTCGTTAGAATTTAATCGAAAGAAGTCGAAATGATTAAGGTAATAATTTGCTTTTATTTGATGCCTTTGTAAGATGGTAAAAGTAGGGGAAGTTATTTTTTCTTTAATTTTCAAACTTTTGGCTATTAACTGGGTTAAAGTTGTTTTACCCACTCCTAATTCTCCTTGGAGTAGCAAGAAAGTATTAGGCTGTAAGTAAGGTAAAAGAAAATTAGCAAACTTTTCCAAGTCAGTGAGATTGTCAATTTTGACTTTGATTGATAGCATTATTAATTTTTAAGTTTGGTTTTGCCCATCTATATACCAAAGGATATTACAGGAAAAGGAAACAATAGATTAGGGTTAATACAAAATTTTGTGCTAAAACATAAGTATTAACATTTAAAGAAGGGTTAAATAAACAAAATTTTGGCCTTATTTTCGTAAGTAACAATATGCCTCTGCTACCTTACAAATACATTAAAGAAAAAATTTCTTTACCAAAAATTACTCCACAGGAATTAGCAGAAAAACTTAGTTATTATGGTCTAGAAACGGAAGTGGTTGAACATGGGAGTAATTCATATTTTAAATTCAGCCCTTTTCCTAACCGGCCAGATCTATTTTCCTGGCAAGGAATTATTAACGAAATAGGAATCTTAATTAACTGTAAAGTCAATTTAATTAACCCTCCGGTTATAAAAGGAGTGGAGAATTTCATTAACGTAGAAATCAACAGCCATAATTGTCGAGAATTTCATTTGGGTCTAGTAGAGAATATTAGAGTTAAAGAAAGTCCTTCATGAATAAAAGAATGGTTAGAAATAAACGGAATCAATTCAATTAATAACATAGTAGATGCTGGTAATTTGGTAATGCTAGAAACTGGACAGCCAATTCACATTTTCGATTATGATGCTTTGCCAGAAAGGAAGATTATCGTTTGTCAAACTCAGAGGAAAGAAGAAATAGAAACGTTTCAGGGGCAAAAATTAGCACTTAATTCAGAAGATATAGTAGTAAGTTCAGGAGAAAAAATTATTAATTTGGCAGGGATTATTGGAGTTAAAGGTTTTGCTATAAATTCACAATCGAAAAATATTCTTATTGAATGCGCAGATTTTAATCCTAAAGTTATTCAAAAAACTGCTAAGAGACTGAATATTTCGACTATCGCTAGTCAATTTTTTTGCCGGAAAGGTAATTTTTTACCATTAAAGCAGGTTTTACAAAGAGTAATTTCTCTTATTATCGAAACTTACCAAGGAGATTTAAGTTCTGGAACAATTTTTTCTTATCAGGAGGCAGAAAAAATTCCGCTAGTAATTACCATTAGCCAGGAATTTATTACTAAAAAAGTCGGTCAGGAACTTGCAGCGCCAGTAATTGAAAATATTTGACAGCAATTAAAATTCTCCTATCAGAAAAAAGGAAATGTTTATTACGTCACTATACCTTTATCAAGACCGGATATTACTATTGCAGAAGACTTATTGGAAGAATTGTTAAGAGTTTATGATTATAACAAAGTAGTTAGTTCACTTCCATAAAAAAACATTTTTCTAAATAAAATTTCTATCCTAAAAAGTGCTTAAAAATATTTAACAAATGCTCCCATAGCTCAGCGGATAGAGCGTTTGCTTGCGGAGCAAAAGGTTCCCAAGTTCGATCCTTGGTGGGAGTGCCAAAATAAATAATAAAAAGTCAAAGAAATCCCACTGTTTTTTTTTTTTTTTTTTTGTAAAATATATTTAGGAAATGGTAAAAAAAATAGAAAATATTTGCTTTGCTTTAAAAGATCAGGAACATAATCCTAAAATTAAGGAAGGAGAATTAGTTGGAATTGCTATTCAGACCTGACGTGAGTATATTTGAAGTAGTTGTGGTTATTTAATGGTTCCTAATAACCCAGAGACCATTCAAAGTTTAGAAAAAAAGAAGATTAGTCAAGAAAATTTTTTTTGGCTAGAAACTGAAATGCGAGTGGAAGAAATTAAGGAAGATTTGTTTACTGATAAGGGAGAAAAAGTGTTTGTCATGGGCAGGAATAAAGTCTATGTCGAAGACCCTAATTGAGATAAAAAAATTAAGTTACTTTACTGCCGAAGTATGGAATACTTTGTTCCTATTAAGGTAGTTAAGAATGAAAGTAATTTGCTTGAAGTAGAAATAGAACCAATGGATTTTTACGAGGAAGGTTTAATTGATAAACTGATATTTCAAGGAGAAAAAATTAACCAATATCGTGATTTAATTGTGAGAAATCTCGGAAAAGAGTTTAAAATGTCCAATAGATCGTTTATTCTTGGTACTCCTAAGCAGCCAATAAATACTAATAAATGGAAAGAAGAAGATAAAATTGAGTTGTCTGAAAAGAAAAAAACCAATGGCAGGCCAGAGAAGTCCATTTCTGAAATAGGAAGTTCCCTCGCTGGATATTACCAAGAAAATAACATCAAATCAGCGAAGTTGTCAGATGAAGACCAGAAATTTTTAGACCTTGTTTTTAATAGCGGTGAGAAGAAATCTGAAAAAGATTTTTCTAATCGCCGTGATAAGCAGAAAATAGAACAGATAAAAATCTTTTTAAAATCTAATGACAAACAATCCCTTGATTATTCCGAACTAATCGCTTTTTTGGACCCTGAACTTAACGATTGAAAAAATAAATTAAAAGAATGAATGGAAAAAAACAATATAGAAGAAATAATTTTAGAAGGGAGAAACAAAGTTATCTGTAAAAAACGTAATAATAGCGGTTCGCTTTCTTTCGGCGGTGATTTTACTCCCTTGGAAAACGGAGAACTTCCAGAAATTCCCGAAGCCTCACGGACAAAGATTAATGGAGTAGATATTGGTAAATTTTTCGAAAAAATTGGTAAAAATTCTATTTCTAGGCAAGAAATAGGCATTAATGAGACCGGAGTAGATGACAACAATTTCAATTGAACCCCTTGGCTAATTGCTGGGATTGTAATAATTAGTTTTGGAGTATCAATGTTACTAATTTTGCGTTGGAAGCGACGGAAGAAAAGATAATAAAAATTAGTTTTTTTGAAGAAAGAGCAAATTAAACTCTCTGAAAAAACCTAAATTATGTTATGAATGACAAAAAGAAAAAAGTAAAGAAGTTTTTGCTTTTCACCATTGGTTTATTGCATGTTTTGTGTATAGCAATGGCGTTTCACCTAGATTTATTTCGTCGCTCTTCCTATTCTTTTGCTTCGATTAGTAATATTAATTATTGGCTATGAATTTCTAGTTGATGGTGTATTTGAGTTGGGTGATTAACCATAATTTGAGTTATTTATAAACTAGTAAAAAGGAATAAAGAGGATAGTTACTTTGAGCAAATCTTCGACTTGACAGTTCTAATAGCCAATCTGCTAATGATTTTAGCCCTCTTGGCTAATTTTCTAATTTACTATTTTTGAAAGGTGGAATGAATTTATGTACCAGACACTGATAACCCACAGAGAGTTATTAAACTCTTTAATAGTTGAGAAGTAAGAACCCAAAATTATTATTGGTTTAATATTACTATTTCTCATTTGATTGTTCCATTTACACTCCTCTATTACTTTTTTAAATTTGGTAAAGTAAATTTGTTAAAAAAAACAACTACTCTCATTGGAATTCTAATCAATCCCATCCTCTGATTTCTTTACGTTATTTTTCGAGAAAAAATTAGCAATTATTGAATTCATCCTGATAAAATATCCTGAGATTTTCCCCGGAATTATCCTTATGTTTTCTTCTACCGGATTATGGGGCAGCAGGCTTATGAAAAAGATGTAAATTATTATCACAGTCCAATTTCACGTTTTTTGTGGCTAGTGGGAGTAATTCTGGTAGGTTTCACTTTTTTTTCATGCTTAGCCTGACTTTTGATTAAATGAAAAAATAAAAAAGAGGCAAGTTAAATAAATAATTTTTCACCAGACTTCTCTGTTAATCTAGAATGGCTAATTAATAAAACTACTTATGCCTAAAAAAACTCGTGATGCTAAAAGAAAGAAGAAAAAGCAACTTTTAAGAAGAGGGGAAGAACACACCAAAAAAAGATAACTGCACCAGCCAAAGGTAAAAAACACTGAAAAGAAACCTAAGAACAAGAGCAAGCCCAAATTACTGCCTGAAATAATCGAGGAGGAGAGGGTAATTAATAAATGCGGAGATACCTACAAAGAATAGTTTGAACCTTATATTTAGGAGAAGACTAAAAAAACACTTCGTGGTTTACCTCTAATAATCGGTAAAATCTTTATAATTTTTTGATAATTATTTGTTGTTGGTACTCCTCATATCCCTCTTTCAAATGATGGTAATTTTCATAATTCAGAACATCTTCAGCCCTTTCTCCTAACCTTCACAATCAAGCACAGAAATCATAATCATTTGGTTGCAAACCAATTCCTATTCATTCTTTCGCTTCTTCAAAGGAGAATCCTAAATTCTTTCATTCTACCACTAGTTTAGGAGTAAAGTCGCGATGAATACTTGATCAGTCTTCTATTTTAGTTTTTTTGTTCTTCTCTTCCCATTCTTTCTTTTTCTGAAAAGAATAACTTCCTTCATAAATTTTTCTAAAACCATTTATGTTACTTTCATTTACTTCTTCAGGATCAATACTGCACATTTTTAAATAAAAAGCAAAATCAGCATCTTCTGGGTTTAAACCCCCTTGTTCAATTCATTTTTGGGCATCTTGGCAAGTAAAGTCTAGATTTTCCCATTCTTTTTGTAACTCTTCGGTAAAACCGGAGTGGATAGTTCACTTAGTCATATTACAATATTAGATTTATAGTTCATTTAGGTCCTTTACCATGATTATTTTACGATAACATAATAATAGAATTTTTCTCTCCTAACATAGAAAACTTATCTACTTGTTTGAAGACAGAAAAGCAGAAGTTAACTTTAAAAATCTGTATTTAGTGCTTTTTTTAATAACTTCTATACTAGTTTTAACTCTTCTTTAATATCAGCAAGTTTTTTCTCCGCTAAACTTTTTAGATATTTATTGTTTTTGAACAACATTTCTTTAACTTTTGGAAGGTATTTTTGATACTTTTCTTGGATTGGGGCAAATTTTTCATTTATCATTTCAGCAACTTTTTCTTTAAATTCTTTGTAGTCTAGTTCATCCATCTTCATTTCCTCTACCACTTCGGTTATTTCCTTATCTTGCAAGAGAGCACAAATAGTTAAAAGATTAGAAACTCATTTTTCATTTTTACTCTCATCTTTAAAGTCATAGTAAAGTTTATCATTGCTGTCAGTTTTGGCTTTCTTTAATTTTTCTTTTACTGTTTCAGGCGTATCTAAAAGTCCGATATAATCATTCTCACTCTTGCTCATTTTTTTTGTGGGGTCATTTAAACCCATAATTTTTCCTCCTAGGCTAGGAATGTCAAATTTAGGTATTTTTAATAATTCTCGACCATAGAAATTGTTAAATTTATTGGCTAAACCTTCAGTTAGTTCTAAATGTTGTTTTTGGTCTTGACCGACAATTACTAAGTCAGCATTATAAAGCAGAATGTCCGCGGCCATTAGAACCGGATAAGATAAAAGAGCTAAATTACCGGTTCCTCCTTCCTTTTTTATTTTATCTTTATATTGAGTCATGTCGCCTAATTTACCAACTGTAATATGAGGAGATAATAAGTTCATTAGTTCTAAATGCTCACTTACCGAAGACTGAATATATACTCTGCAATTCTCGTTTAGCCCACAAGCATAAAGTAAAGCAACCATTTCAAAAACCTTGGCTTGATAATCAAATTCTTTTTTTGGAACAGTTAAAGAGTGTAAGTCAGCAATCATAATTATTACTTCATAATCATTTTGGATTTTTAGGATATGATGAATCAAGCCACAATAATTTCCTAAAGTGGGGGTTCCGGTAGCTTGTATACCAGTAAAAAATCGTGGTTTAGACATATATAATTTTGAATTTTAAAGTAATAAGGCAGAGAATTTGAGTTTCTAAAAACTTGTTCTTATAACAATCTTAAATAGACATATTTTTTAGAATATGACGTTCTTTTAAATGTTTTTTTGGAGGAGCCAGTCGGATTCGAACCGACAATCTGAAGATCTGCAATCTTCTGCTTTACCATTTAGCCATAGCTCCTTGTTTAGACCCTTTTAAACGTAAATTTTAATGAATCACCCTTACTTAATTTTTACAGATTCTAGATATTAATAATTAATTCTCTGCTTTTTCTTTCAAATCAAAAAGCAACTAATTCCAACCACAAGAAAACCGATCAAAATTAAAAAAATAGGAAGGTAAGGAAAATCTTGGGAAGAAGATGGCTGAGTTTGAGTTTCTCTTATTAACCAATTAACAATTTCGTCCACCTCGCTTTTTTTCTTTTCGTAGGCTCTTTGGTTAAAAAGATTTTCCTCAGCAAAAATTAATAATTCCTTTAATAATTCTTCTTTTTCCGGTTTTGTTTTAACTTGACCGACCCGAACTAAAAGTTGATTTAAACGTTTAGTGCTACTATCTATGTCAATTAATTCTTCGGCAATCCTAACTTTTTCAGGCTCGCCAGAATTTTTGGCCTCTTCTATTGCTGCTTTGGTTTCCTCACTAAGTTCTTCATAAGTTAAGTCATTATCTTTAATTTGCTCATCAAACGAACCCTTAATTCTCTTGTAGTATTCTTGTGGGTTCATATTCTTTAACTTTGCTTCTAGTTCCTCAATTTGTTCCCGATATTCCTTGTAATCTTCGATAAACCTCAATTCTTTAAGTTGTTTGATTATAGGAAATAATTCTTCAAAATCATTTTTAGTCTTGGCTAACTCTAAAAGGGTTTGAATTCTACTTTTTCCTGACTTGGATGCTCGTTTTTTTCTAATGTCTTCCAAAACTGCTGATTTTAATCTATCAATATCTTCTTCCGTATCAGCATTTTGGATCGAGGCAACTCAGTCTCGATTACCTGGTTCTAAATCTTCGGTTTTAACTTCCGGTTCAACTATCAGGAAATCCTTAATTTCAGTAATGGCTTCGCTTCTAAGAAGTTTGACATTTTTCCAGGAATTAAGACCTCTTCTTCACAATTCAATACATTCTGAGGAACAGAATAATTTGTCTTCATCCTCGGATGGATATAAAAAAATTGTCTGACCTTGCTGATTTTTCTGATAAGGTTCTCTGCCGCATTGATAACATTTTTGCTGACTATTACCGCTACTCCTTGATTGATTAACTTCCTGCCTATGGTCAGGACAAAAAGCATATCCAGTGCTTCTTTTAAGTATTCATCCACTTCCAATTCCAACATTTTCTCCTGGCTGTCTTTTCCGCCCACAAAAATGACAAACAAAAAAATTATTGTAGCAGACAGCACTGCAAAATCAAAAATATTCTTGTTTATCTCTTCCAAAACCCTTTTCAAGGGATTTAAAATTTGGATATCTGCTGTTCCATAAAAAGATACCATGGCAATAATCACATTTATTTTTTTCTGCTTCCCCTGAACCTGATGAACTACTTGGCCGTGTTAAAAAATTATAAGCCTTCTCCGCGATTTTGTAATTTTTAATAAACTTCTTGTAACTATCTCTACATTTTTCTGAATGAAATAATAATGTACTCTTGTTATTTCTATCGAGGGCAAAGCAATCAAATCCTTTTTTTTTACATTCTTTTGCCACTGAACTCTTAGATTTTCACTTATCAGGATGATACTTGAGTTGCATTTGCCGGAAAGCATTAGTAATTTCTTTTTGAGAACTACCAGAATTCGTTTTAAAAACTCCATGAGCTCAATTAAATTCATTAATAAATTGATTTGCGGGTATGGTTCCCTTCTTTCTTTCTAAATCTTCTTCTATTCCCTTTTCTATTTCTTCTATGTCATCGTTCGTTAGTTCAAATTTCAAATCTACCATAATTTATTATGTATTGTTTTAATCACTTTTTTTATCTTTATAAAAGGCTCCTACCAAATTAAAATAACTAAGATAAGTTTAAGTAAAATATTAGTAGTGGATATTCTGAAAAACAATTTATATTTCCGGTCTCAATAAAAATGGTTTATATCTTAAAATAACTATTAAAAACTTAAATATTATGAGAATAAAAACTATCATTACGCTATCAATAATAGGAATAATCAGTTTACTATATGTAACGGAGAAGTCCAAAAATTATATCTGTAATCAACAATTAACTGATTTGCAATCTCGACATGTTTCTCACAAGCAGTTTTTTGGTGAATACCTGGCTAACAAAAGGAGTGAATTAAACAAGTTAAAGTGCGAATTAACTAAGGAAGAGGAAGAGTGATTAGAAATTTATTGAGAAGCCTGTCAAGAAAGTAAAGAAAATCCTTTTGTCCAAAATCAATTGACAAGAGCCAAAGACAAGTTAGGTGGGAAGTTGAGTGAAGAAGAATTAACTGAAATTTTGTCTCGGCGAAAAGAAATAGTTGAATTAGGAAAGCAATTAGAAAGGTTAGATATTTTACCAGCCTCCTCCATTTCAGAAGAAAAAGAGGTAGCAAAAAATAAGTAAATATATATATATATATATATGAAAGTAAGAATAAAATTTACAATCAACGAGGGAGGAAGGCTTGGAACTAGTTCTAAAAAAGTAATCAAAAAAAATAATTCCATAGAAATAGAACTGGACACTCTTAATATAGTTCAAATTCAGAATGAAACTGACAACTTGGACATGCAAAATATTGCCGATCATTACGGGAACAAATGAAAAATTGAAAAAGTTAAAAAGTTAAAAATCGACCTATCCAATGAAATAGAGGCTCGAAAAATATATGGTTTATTACACTTAAAGCATAAACTAAAAGCCGATCAGCCCTGAGATTTTATAATAAATCATGTTAACTATGATGTAAGAACTACAGGTTTTGTTTTTGATAACACTACCGGCATTTTGAACTTAAATTCTTCTGACTTTGACAATAACCTTGATAATATTGATATTTCTACGCTTCTTTTCACTGATGGATTTTCTCCGGTGCCATCCTTTTATGGTAATTTCGTAACTGGTCGAAATGAACTTTATAAATTAGAGGATTTGTTGACTAGGCTAGAAAATAATTTTCTTTTGCCTAATGCTAACTTGCAAAATTCAGTAAATGACCTCGATGAGTTGGAAAACTATTCGAGGGGCAATGAAGTAAAGCAACACCTTTTTGATTTACGAGATTCGCCAGGTAGAACCTCGAATGCGATTGGTCTTGGTAGAGGCGATTCACACATTTATAGACCAAGAATTAATTATCTGGCTAAGAACCTTGAAGAACTCGCTGTATGAAGTTCTTCTGAAATTGGCTTTACCAGCCTAGACCAAGTGTTAAAAGCAAACGCTAATGGCTTCATTATTGCCCAACGAGGCGGATTGAGTTCGTATTTAACTATTGGAAAAAAAGACTCTTCCGGTAAACTAGATTATGAAGAAATAGGAGATGAACACTTATCACTAAGATCTTTAAATGTTAACGCCATAATGGAGACCCTTAAAGGAGGAAAATATCGAGGTTTTCGGATAATTGATCCTTTCCAACCTGATCCAAAAGTGGAGAATGCTATGAAATACCAAACCCTTTTTAAATATTCGTGCCAGGCGGGAAGAAAAGAATTCACTAAAACCCACATAGACAGATTTCGTAATTTCCTTCAAATAAACATGGGTACAGATGGTGGTGAAGAAACTGATAAACGAAAATGTTTTGGCTTTCAAATCACTGATATTGATGACAAAGGCAAAGGACATTATCAGAGTCGTTCTGGCTGCAATCCTCAAGCCGGAAAAACTAAAATCACCTATGATATCTGGGCTGCACCAAATTTAGATGAAGCTATTGATTTGGCATTTTTCGGCGTACCTTATGCAGGAATGAAAAATGTTGATAACAGCCTGCTTTTTTTAAACGAAGTGGAGGGAAAAAGGAGAAAAGAAATTTTAGACATTTACTACGAACATGGACTTAAAAGTGAAATGTGCGGCAGAAATAATTACTTAGAAGGCATGGTGAATAATTGGTATGCTGATTCTTGAGATGCCGGTGAAGTTCTTTCTAGGGGAAAAATTGAAAAAGCCTACGAAATAGTTAATAATTGAGCCATTATTTTAGATAATTATGAAACTGGAAAATACTCTCCTGGAAGCGGTTATGATAAGAGTAAAGCCGAAGAAAATAAGGATAAATTACAACAAATAAAAAAAATCTCAGTAGAAAATTCAAGTAGTCATGAGAAGAAGTTGGTTGATAAATGAGAAGACAGAATAGATGAAGTAATCAATGCCTTAAAGATTTTTCTCGGTGAAATTCCAGATAATAATGAACTTCCATCCAATGTCCTCAGTAAAATAAGAGAATATCGAGCCTCCGAAACTGATACCTTGGCTCAAAAAATCTATGAAGAAGCCGAAAAAATGAAAGCGGCAGATAATGTTACCATTAGGACTATTGAAAAACTAAAAGAATTAGTAGGCGTAGCAAAAAATTACCAAAATAGTTCGATTGATACCCTAATAAAATTGAAAAACTTTTCTTCGGCCCAATCTAACAGCGAAGAAGGAAAAGCCTGAACCATTGCCAAAAAAGTTCCTGATGAAAACGGTAAGGTCTGAGTGGAAGAGGTTTTGGAAAAATGTAAAATTGCTGCTCTGCCTGAAGTTCAGTCTAAGTTGAAAAGAACAGTCGGTAACGAGCAAATTTATCAAAAGATAATAACCAGCATTGAAAAAGACGCTATTGCTATTAGCCAAGCAACGGAAATATTTACCTGGTCCAAACAATCTTTAGAAATTCAGGGAACAGACGAAACTCAGGAAGTAAAAGAATTAAAAAGTAAATTACAAACCGCCCAAAATCATACTAGTGCCTGAAATGCAGTTAATAATTTTAAGGAAAATTCTAGCGATACCGAGGGCTATGCCACTAAAGCCTACAAAAAAATCCAAACTTTTTCCAAAAAAAGACAAGAAATTGTTGATAAATCTCACTTAGCCAAAGCAAAAACCAAGGAAGAATTAGAAAGTTTTTACAAGGAAATGAAAGAAGGAGAGAATTTTACCGGCAGTTTAAAAGAAACAGTTGAAAAAAAATCCTATCCGCGGGCTGAAATAATTGCTTCGATAAGAGAAAAAAAAGATAATGCTAAGCCGGAAGAAAAAGCCTTAATTGAGTTAATAAAAGATTTTGTTATCAAAGCAGAAATAGATACCGATTTCGGTGATGATTCTAATAGAACAGATTACCAAACTCTTAAAAATAAACAAGAATCTTTAGCAAAATATACCAAAACTGGAACTCCAGAGAATAATGTTTTTGAAAGTTTACCGTCCGAACAAAAACAGACTATCAATCAATTGCTTTCAGAACTTTCCAGTAAAGTAGAGAAAATGAAAAAAACTATCGACCAGGAAGATCTGGGAGGGAAAGATAATTCTAATAATAGTGAAAAACCCTTTTATAAAACTACTTCTGGAATAATTATCATTAGCACAGCAGTAGTACTTGTTCTAGGTTTAACATTCTGGTTTTTCACAAAAGGTAGTAAAAAAAAAGAATAATTAATCTCTTAACTTAGCGACAAAACTTTTTTCTATCTTTCTACTAATAGCACTCATAATCTTTTCTACTTCTATACTTCTTAATGTTCCAAGAAGACTTTGAAACACTAAGCGAAAAGATATTGATTTCTGTCCCTTTTTCACCATTTCAGCACTCCGGTAGGCATCAAAAATAATTACTTCTTGCAAATCCTTACCGCCTATGTTTTTTATCTCGCAAACAACTTCATTACAATTAGTATTTTCCGGAAAGACAAATGATAAGTCTTTTTCGCTCGCCGGGAAAGTGGAGATAGGCCGATAAGGTATTTCAGACGAGGAGTTAGCAAGAAAGTCAAATATTTTGCTCAAGGAAATTTGGGCAACAAACACTGGTTCACTTATTTGGTAATTTTGAGTGATTTTTGGGCAAACTAGACCTAAAAAACCTATTTTTTCTTTCTGCAACATTATTTCTGCACTTTGGGAAGAATGCAAATAACTAAGTGAAGAGTTAGAAAAGGAAATCTCTGATTCAATTTGCCAAAGTTGAAAAATATTTTCTAACATTCCTTTTATTCAATAAAAATCTATCTCATAAGTTAGTTGGTGAAGAGGCTGATTAATTAATTTTCCAATTCCGCTCAAAATAAGGATTTTTTCTTGATAAGAAGAAGAAGCAACCGAACTGATTTCAAAAAAAAAGAGATTTTTATTTCCATAGGTAAGGTTGTATTTTATGACTTTTAAGTGACTGGGGACCAGATTTTGCCGATAATATTTATGATATTCATTTTTAGGCATTAATAGTTTATAAGATTCATCCCTTTCTTTAAACTCCTCTTTCATTTCGCGAGAAATTAGAGAATAAGTAATAATCTCTTGTCAACCGCAGTTGGCTAGGTAAATCCGTAATTTTCTCTCTCTCTCGTGCTTATTATCTAAAATGCTATTCATGCCTACTAAAATTGTTTTAAAATTGAGAATTTGCTTGGTGTTTGAGAAGTTTCTGAAATACTTTCTCTTTTCACCATCGCTACTTTTAACCTTGCGGGAAAATTTCCTCTTTCTTAAAGAATAAATTTATCTCTCTCTCGGCCGCTTCAGGGCTATCCGAACCATGAACTGCATTGGCATCAATGCTTTCTCCATAAGTTCTTCTAATTGTTCCTATCTTTGCTTCTTGTGGATTGGTTGCTCCCATAATTTCCCGATTAAGTTTTATTGCATTTTCCCCTTCTAAACACATAACCACTACTGGTGAACTACACATAAATTTTACCATGATGTTAAAAAAAGGCTTTTTTTGATGCTCTTGATAAAAGACTTCAGCATGTTGAGGGTTCAGGCGGATCATTTTCATCCCTATTACTTTTAACCCTTTTTTTTCTAAAACATTAATAATTTCACCAATCAAGTTCATTTTACCAACATCAGGTTTAATAATAGAAAGTGTTTTTTCCAAATTCATATATAAGTTGTATTTTAATGTTTTGCTAGTTTTTTAAAAAATTTTAAACTCTTTTTCTTTTACTTATAAATAAGAATAAGATCGAAACCATAACTACTAAAGTCACTCCGCCAATAATTCAACCAGTTGGGAAATTATTGCTAGAATTGTTTAACTGCGAGCCAGCATTATAATAAGAAGTTAATTCTTCTAATTTTTTATTATTTTCCTGCATCCTTTCTTGTCTTTCTGAATTAGTTAAGGACTGATTTTTCTTTAACTCTTCTATTTCAGTCTTTAAGCGATTTATTTCAGAGATAAGTTGTTCTTTGGTTCAAGTTTGGTAGTCGTTCCTATCTTTTGGATTGATCGGAAGTTGATATTGACAACCTAAAGTTTTGCTTATTTCTTCTCACTGTTCGATAGAAAATCCTCAAATAAAATGCCCTATTGGTTTATAATGCTTTCTCCCTGATTTATGCTTAATTACTAGCATATCAAAATAAGCATCTTCATCTCATTTTCTTTCGATACATCAATCTTGCGGATTTTGTTTTATTTCTTCAATAAAAAAATTCACTAATTTTGTGGCCAAATTGCCACTAATCCTTAATGGGTTGCTTTTTGCTGGCATTCTTTCTGATTCCATTTCTTCCTCTTTTTGTCATGAACCATAAATACCGCCATCTTTGCCCATAACCCAGTTGGAGAAATCACTTTTTATAACTTTCTGATCTAATTCTTCTACCATCCTATCATAATCTTCATATAACTTTTTACGTGATTCAGAAAAGAGAGGACTTTCACAGATTTTTTCTTGATGTTGTTTCAGTCTTTTGTCAATTTCTAGAATCTCACTTAATAGTTGTTTATCCTTCATAAAAGTTAATTTTTAATCTGTATCAAGAAAGTTTACAAATATCGCAACCAACCATGTCTTCCTCTTCAAACTTTCCATAGCAATAGTGACAAATTTTCTTTGACATGTCTTATAAACTAGTTTTTAGTAAAAAGAAATTTTGAGAAATAGAATAAAAGCATTTTTTTATATTGCCATATTTGAGTAGGGCAAAACAAAAAATAAATATGCAAAAGCAAGTAAAATAAAGAACACAATTAAAAATTATTTAATTCATTCTAAATGATGATTATTTTGTTCGTTTTTTTGTTTTTAGATGCCTTTTTTTTAAAAGTAAAAAAAAGTAGTATATAAGCAAAATTCCTGCTATAACACCGAGGACCGAACTTATTATAGTTATGAGTTTCTTCGACATAACACTACATTACTCGGCAATTTTCCTTAGGTGAAACTTCTTTGTTAAGAACTTTTGACATCCTTTATCATAATTTTAGGTTTGTTCCCTTTAATAAGGATTATTCCTTTCTGTTCTTCAATCACTACCTAATTCAAAATTATTTTCTGCTTTTCGTGCCTAAAAAAACATACAAAAGCAAAGCACTAATAGAGGATGAAAGTAATAAATATAAACTTGAAAATAGAGCACCAATTCCATCAAGGTCTTTTATAATTTGATTCCGATAAATAAAAAACATTGACAAATAATAGAGAGTGATAAGGAAAGAAAAAAGCATAAAAAAAATTAAAAATTTCTTCTTTATTTTCTTCTTCCTAATTAACCATGAAATAGGGAAATAAAGAAGTGGAGAAAAAGAGATTAAAAAGTAAATCGATAATTTTTCCATTACATTACTCGGCAATTTTCCTTAGGTGAAACTTCCTGTAAATATTTATTTTTATATTTATCAGTTTCTCAGTCAGATTTTTCTCCTAACCGGTCATTAGTTTCTCTTATTTCATTACTCAAACAAATAGAAGTCTTATTATCTTTTTTAAATTTTTGTTCTATTTGTTCCGAAAGATTAATCCCATAAACTAGCATGTTAGCCAAGTGTTCACAATTCCTGTCTAGTAAATGATAATTCCCTTTTCTAAAATGATTATCTTTGGCTCATACTGCCTGCCTGCATATATCTCTATAAACCCTAAAAGGGATAATTGGGTGATAACCAATTACTTCTCCTTCTAAAAAATCACTTCATCGGTCAATTGTAGTATCATTTTTTTCTTTGGAAAAATGACAAACTTTAAATTCTCCATCTATTTTACCTAAATAAACTCCGACATGATAAAAACCAGGACCCATTTTTTTCTCCGTGTATGTTTTAACAATATCAAGAGGTTTGAGAGAACGAGTCGAATAATTTTTTACTACATAAGGTTCGGTGACAAAAGTTTCAAAAGAGTAATAACTATTGCAATAAGGATGAATTAAAAATATTGGATTAAAACCATATTTACCAGAACTGAATTCTAATTCATCCCTTAACCAACTTGCCTCTTCTTTCGCTTCAGGAAAAAAAGTCCATTTTGTTCTTCTTCGGTCTTTTCCTCAATAACTACAATCCTTATCAACTGGAAATACTACCGGTTGGTAAGTGCTGTAAACTGAATCATAAACTAATAAGAATACTCGATAACAGTCATCATAATGAGTAATAACAGTAGCAATGTTATTGCTTCATCAAGTGCTAAATCTTTCTACTTTTTCGATAGTTCCAGGTATAGAAGTTCTTTCTTTGACTAGTTCTTTATATCTTTCTTTTTGACTTTGGGTGTAGATTAAAGTGAATTTATTGCATTTTCAACACCTTATATCTCGGCGATGATGTTCAGTAGGTTCATAACTTTGATGCTCTGCTCAACTATCCTCTCATGAATTACAATTGTTGCATCACCAATTTCCATTAATCTGTGCATTCGAATCGATAATTATGTTTGTTGATGAAGAAAAATAAGATGATGGTGATGAAATCCTTCTCATTATGTTATTATCACCAATAATACTTTCTCTAATTATACGTTTCGTTCCATCTAAATCCACCTCTATTTCATCACCAACACGATAAGCATCAAAAGGTGGTTCATTAATACAACTAATATAATTCCCAAAATCGTCGCTGTAACTTATAATACAACTTAAATAAAATGTAATTCTATTCTCATAAAGACTTTCATACACATTTGTAATTTTGAATACCTTTCAATTTGCCATAATTTTTTATAATTCTTACTTTTTATCCTTAAATTAATAGAAAGTGTCTTATATAATTGTTATTAATTTTCCAAACCCCCCTTACAAAGCAGAATTAAAAAAATATCTTTTTAAAACTTCTGGTATAACTAGTTTGTTTTCCTGCTCATTATAATAATATTCGCATAAAGCAATGATTAAGCGATCAACTGCCAAGGCCGAGCCATTAAGAGTATGAGGAAAATATTTTTGGCCTTCTTTAACCCTTACTCTTATTTTGGCCCGCCGACTTTGAAAATCCTCACAGTTACTACACGAGGAAATTTCCAATCATTCTTCTTTTTTTCTTTTTTCATTTTTTGGTAATAAAATTTCAATGTCATAAGTTTTAGCGGCGGTAAATCCTAACTCTTTATGGCAAAGTTCAATTACTCGATGAGGAATTTTTAACTGGTGGAGAATATTACGAGCATCAGATACCAACTTTTCTAGTTCCGAATAAGAATTTTCCGGCTTAACCATTTTAACTAATTCGACTTTATGAAATTGGTGGAGCCTAACCAAGCCTTTGTTTTCTTGACCTGCGGCCATTCTTTCCGCCCGGAAACAGGGACTATAAGCGCACAAATTTAAAGGTAAATCTTTCTCGGTTAATATCTGGTCCTGATAAAGGTTAACCAAACTAACTTCAGCGGTTGGAATAAGATAAAGATTATTTTTTTCGTTTTCTTTTTCTATTTTATAAAGATTATCTTGAAATTTGTGAAATTGCCCAGTATTATAGAGGTTATAAGAGTTCACTAAATATGGAGTATCGAATAAACGATAACCACGTTTGCTATTTTCGGTCCTCATAAAATTAATCAGAGCATGCAATAATTCGCTCCCTAAACCTTGATAAACCGTAAATTTGCTACCGGAAAGAAGAATACTTTTTTCTTTGTCAATTAAATTTAACTTTTCTAATATTTTTTCATGGGTTAAATTGTGTTGAATATGGTGTCGATATTCGGTGCTGTCAATGATTTTGTTACCTTCCTCGGTAGTGGGAGTATTGAAAGCAGGCAAATTAGGTAGTTGGTTGGTTAATTCACTTAATTTTTTTTTCAGTTCGCCTAATTCTTTTTCTAACAAAGCGACTTTCTCATTAATTTTTTCAACTTCTTGAGCAGTTTCCTTTCCTTCTTTAATTAACTTATTCCTTTCTTCCCTTAGCGGACCAATCATTTCATTCAATTCTCTTTTTTTAATTAACTTTTCTTTGATAAGTAAAAGTTTGTCTTGGGTTATCCCACGATATTCAAGGCGTTTAACTAAGTCTGCAAAACTGGTAAAAAATCTTTGGTTATCTAACATCTAGTTTTCTTAATCTTGACTTTTTATGATTTCTTGTAACTAAAAACAACCCTACTAAAACTGCAAGAATAACAATAAAAGAACCAATTAAAATAGGAATTAGCAAGTTATTTTCAGGGGATTTATTTCCATTGTTTTGATGATTACCTGTGGTAATATGTTTGACCATTTCCCTTTTCAGAAGTTTGCAGAATTCCAAAATCTCCCTCTTAGAATTTAATCTCTTAAAATGTTCCTGGAAGTCTCTTGCTTTTACTTTGGTTCCATCATTCAATAAAATTTCAAAATCCATTTTATTCTCTTCTTTTCTCATTTTTGCAAAAAAATTTCGAATTTCTTCGCTTGCCTTGTTTCTTGCTTCTTCTAGTGAAGAGGCTTCAATAATCTCCTTTTCTCCCTGATTAATTAAAGGCTGGTGTTTTTTTGAATTTTGATTGTCATTTTTTTTCTCTTCATTTGCCCGAAAAATAGCAAGTAAAATTTCGTTTTTATAATTTTCTATTTCTTCTTCTTTGTCAAGACTTTCGATAACTGACTGGTAATTTTGATATTTTCCATTTTCTAGGACTTTCATGTCAACCTGTTTACTTTCGATTTGAAAAATAGCAGCAATTCTAATATTTTCTAAGGAGGGGTCAGTTCCCTGATTTTGAGTAGATGCTTTTTGGTATGCTACCTGATTTTTTTTGTAAATATCCTTCAAGCGTTTAGCAAAATCTTTCTTTCTTTGCACATTTTTCTGATTTTTGACTAACTGTTTTTGATTAGCAGTTGAATTTAAAGGCTGATTTTCATCTAATTCTTCTAAACAGGTATTAAAATCGTTTAACTGCATTGGCGAACCATCAGGCTCTGACATAGCAATTAAATTTAATCCTTTTTCGCTTTTGGCTTGGTCGCAAAGTTTATTATTTTTATCAATAATATCAAGAAGTTCGGCTGCCAGCAGAGCCAAGTCACTATTTTGAACTTGAATTTCCAAATTTTTTTGTTGAACTTCGGCATAAGTAGTTGGATTAGGATTAGTGGGAGGCACCTGAAAGGGAATAGTAGTTACTTTTTCAATAGTGCGAAAATAGTTATCAATAATTATTTCTTCCCTGTAATGCTCTATTCGGGCTTTGTCGGGACCAAAAGAAACATCACGAATAGTTATTTTATTTCCTACTAATAATAAATCAGGGTCATTAGACAAGATGGAAATAAAATTAATCCGGCTTTGCCTAATAGTAATTGGATAATTTAGGGTTAAGTAAGAAGGGTTGCCGCCCCAGCCCTGAATCGAATTTCCGACTTCAAAAGTTATATCCTGATTTCAAGTAGGATGATGATTATTATTTTCACTATCCTTTCCTACCCCTAAATTAGCATCATGATAGTCTGGATAGGTATTGTGAAAATTACAAATCCCTCCCCTAGGAGCAATTTTCTGGCCCATATCTTCTAAACCAACAGGAGCTTCGAAACCCGGACCAAATTTAAAATTGTTAGAACAACCTTTAACTTTGCAAGTAGTTTCATTCGGAAGAAGATTTTTTAACTCTTCATATTGTCCTTCGGTCAAAGCCGCTGGATGAATAAAATGATTTTGTCTTTCTATTTTTCTAGTTCTACCACACATTACCCTTTTGCTCGAACTGGTTGGAGTTGGCTGATAGTCACATGGAGAGTCTGATACTCTTCGACTATTTGCATAAACGAAAGGACTTCATCACTCTCTTTGTTGTTCTCCCTTTTTTTGTGCTTCGATAGGGTTATCAATAATTAATTGACCGAGGTAAAATTCTCCCTGATTATTTCGGAAATAATTTTTAACTTCCGTAAAAATTTTGTCAAAGTTTTCAATTTGATTATAACCAACATTTTTAGGTATTGAATATTCGTCAAAAATACTAATCCCTTGCCTGTCAAAATCAATTTCAAATCCTCCCTTAATATTTTCGATAACTAACCTTTGCTTAATTATCTTTTTACAGTTTTCACAACAATCTTCACATTGAAAAAAAACATCATCTTCATCCTGCTCAATTTCTTTGTTCTGTCTACAATTTTTACAAATTCCCATTGTCATGATTTTGGCTGTTTAATCTATTTTACAAAAAAACAGTAAGTTTTTTAAGTATTTCGTCCGAACCTTTTCCTTAACTCTTCCATCTGTTTCTTTATTCTAGGATCCTTAATTAATTCTTCTAAACCACGGGGATTTTTCATTGCCTTTTCTATTTTTTTCATCTGCCATCTTATTCATAAAAAACAAACTAATAACCCGGCACAAAAAGAAATTACTAAAAAAAGAGCAAAAAATCAAGCATTAATTTCCATAATATATTAATTTTAGTTATTTATTTTCCGAACACTGATTTAGAATAAGTAGTAAAAAAATTTATAAAAAGCCAGAGTGGCTCAGCGGTTAGAGCAAACGATTCATATTCGTTAGATCGGAGGTTCAAATCCTCTCTCTGGTACCATAAAACGTTGCAATATTTGTAGAAATAAATTATTTAGAATTTAACAAAAAATGCCAGTTAAATTACCAGATTTCGTGAGAGTAATTATCCAAAATGAAAAAGGAAAATTACTGGTAATCTTTCAAAAAAAATGAAATTGCTGAGTTTTCCCAGGTGGTAAAATAGAACCAGGCGAAACACCTGAGGAGGCTGCTAAAAGAGAAGTTTTTGAAGAAACTAATTTAGCAGTTGAAGATTTGGAAATAGTTGCTGAACAGGCTTTTGGTGCAAAAAAAAATCAGCACTGCATGGGTTATTTAGTTAAGGTTAACAAATATTCAGGGGAGATAGAAATCAAAGAACCAGAGAAGATTACTAATATTCAATTCAAGAGAATAGATTATGAATTTGCGATCAATAGGCTTTTTTTTGCCCTCGCTCTTGAACTTGGTTAGCAAGGGAAAAAGAGAAGCAAAATTAAAATTAATATATGAATATAAAACTAGTAAATAGTGAGAAACATTTAATTAAACTAGATATAGATGGAACAAGTACTGAAGCAGATTTTTCAACTTTAAACAAAAATTTAAAAAAAGTTCTGGAAAAATTAAAAGAACAGGGTCATAAAATTTGCTTCACCACCGGTCGAAATTACTTGTCTGCATTGCCTTTCTATGATAAAGTGGGTTTGGATACCTTTTTAGTTACTTATAATGGAGCTTATATTAATAATCCCTCCGACAAGGACAATAAAGAAATAGTGGCTTTCCATACTATTAGGAATAACGTAGTAAGGGATATTTTGAATGAGCCTGTAATTAAACAAAATATTAAGAATGTTCTAATAGATCATGTTAATGGTTTAAAAGAAGATGGCAAAATCGACTTGAAAACGATTAGCACCAGCGATGATATTTATTATCAAGAAATATTTTTCAATGGCAATCCTTACACCAAAGGAGAAAATATTTTACAACTTCTAGGAAAGAAAGATGTTTTACAATTAGTTTTAGAATTTCCGAAAGATGAAAAAACTTTTAATGAAATATTAGTAGCTTTGCAACAAAAATACAACAATGCCATTACTTATTATTTCGGGAGTAAGTTAAAAGCCAAAAATCCTGGAGACAAGATCCTAGTTCCAGACCCAGAAAGAAAAATAATAAAAATTCGGAATGAATTAGCCAGCAAAGGAATGGGAGCAGAATGAGTAGCAAGGCAATATAATATTAGTATGAACAATGTTATTGCTTTTGGTAACGATGTTAACGACATAGAATTAGTGCATAGTGTTGGAAAAGGGGTAGTTACTGCTGACAGTCATGATTATCTAAAAAAACGTTTCTACGGGATAACTGATTTCGGAATTCTTAACAGCGATGGAGTAGCC